GGATGTATGTTGTGTGCAAGAGACCTGTTTTTTTTCTTGCAATCATGAGAGCATTCTGTCTAGGGGGTTTTCCCTCTACTCAGCATGTCTTAATGGACGCTCGAGGGGTGTCTCTTGGCTGGTGAACAAGTCTTTGAAGGCTGTGTGTGCTCTTGTCTTCGCAGATCCGGCGAACAGACTTTGCATGCTGGATGTTACCATAAAGGCTCTGCGTCTCATTGGAGTTTATGCGCCCAATAACCATTCTGAGCAACCTGCTTTGTTTTGGCAGATCGAGTCGTTCTTGGCGACATCTCATCGGGTAGTTTTAGTGGGGGATTGGAATGCCGTCCTTGACTCCGATTTAGATCGTATAGGGCCAAATACGGAAACTAACAACCTGGACGTGAAACCATTTTGGGACTTTATCGACGGGTTTGATCTTGTCGATAAGTATTGGATGAGCACCCTCAGGAGGTTGTTTGGACTTGGACAAATAGTGGCAACTCAGCTCCTGGGACGCTTGCGATCTACTTCAACCGAGTCTTAGTTAGGAGAGTCGATGTAGGGCTCTTAGAGTGTCCAAGTTTCCATTATATAATTTATTCGGGTCATAGGCTTGTCCGGGTCCGTGTAAACTTAGATAAGCCTAAGGTTAGGTTGGCTGGCTACTGGAAATTAAACTGTTCATTATTTGGTGAGCGGGATTTCCAGGACCAGCTGCTACTAATGATACAGAGGGAATTGACTGTGGTGGGAAAATGCCTGGTGGAATAAATTAAAATCCAAAATTAGAACGTTTGCTGCTGATTTTAGTCGTCGACTCAATCTAGATAGATTAGTGGTGCAAACGGTTTTAGAACAAAAAGTTGATCGGGCAGTTAAATCCCGTGATAGTGGGGAAATAGCCTTAGCTGGTAGTTAGGGCTAGGTTAAATAGAATGTCCTCTGAGGCAACGAATATGGCCGCTGAATTATGTGCAGAAGAGAATTGAAGCGCGTCTCGGTGACATATCGTGTGCGTCACATTGTCAGATAAGCGGACCCTGACTACAAACAAGATGTGAGGCTTTTCCTGAGTACTTTCAGGAACTTTTCCCCGGGGAGCCCAGCTCAGTCCGACGCCTATTTAGCTGACTTTCCCTGCCTCAAAGCAGCTGAAGCGGCTAGGTGCGAGGATCCCATTACAGAGTCAGAAATCTGGGAAGCGCTGAAACAGGTTGGCCTGGACAAATCTCCGGGATTAGATGGTCTTCCGTACGAAGTGTACTTGAGGCAGTCGCCCGTTTTTGTTCCCTTGCTGGTACTGATTTTCGGCAACTGGATGAAGCAGTGGTTTATACCCCAACGCTTCACCAGAGGCGTAATGAAGTTGTTACGTAAGGACAAAAACGGTGGGAATGGGTTAGATAACTTTCGCCCTTTAACTATGCTAAACACAGAGTTAAAGATTTTGGCTAAGGTCTTAGCGAACTGTTTGCAGGTTGTCCTCTATGTCTGATTGGCTCCGAACAGACTTGTGCTATGAAGGGCAGGACTATTCATGACAACCTTCATATGGTGTGCTTGATCATCGAGCAAGTCGACAGTGAAGCTGCGCTGATCAATTTAGATCAGTCCAAGGCCTTCGATAGGGTTGACCATTGCTTTCTCGAGGCTGTCCTTTCAGCGCTTGGTTGGTTTCGGGCCGTACTTTCGCACCTGGATCCAACTTCTGTATGCGACCCCAGGTGCGTTGGTGGAGGTGAATGGAATACGATCGAAGCCTTTCGTATTGTCTCGCTCCATTCGTCAAGGTTGCCCGCTTTCGCCTTTGCTTTACATTCTTGCATTGGAACCTTTCCTTCGCAAGTTAAAGACGAATCTGGTCCTTCACGGAATTTCCCTACCTGGTGCTACCATCTCGCCCAGGTATTCTGCCTATGCTGATGACGTTTCGGTTCTCGAGCGGGGCCGAGATTGACGAAGTCAGCAAAGAAATCAGTGGTTATGAGATGGTGACAGGGGCCAAGATCAACCGCGATAAGTCTGTTGGCTTGTGGTTGGGTGCGTGGAAGGGAGTTTCTCTTCCCGGACCTTTCCTCTGAACGGATGGGCCGGTCAAGATTCTCGGTGTCTGGTTCGGTCCTGATCTCCAGTTGGAAATGAATTGGTCGGAGGTGCAAGGGAAGGCTGAGTTCGCAATTAATTTGTGGTCTCGGAGGAATCTTTCCTTAAAGGGGAGGGCAGAAGTATGTGTTTCACACGTCTACCCGATTCTCCTTTACCGACTCTGTGCTTCTACTTCTGTATGACATTTTACTAGCATTAGTGAGGCTCTTGTTCTCCTTCTTGTGGGGAGGCAAGGCCGCCAGAGTCTCTCGGGAGATCTGTTGCCTTCATCGATCTGAAGGTGGTCTAGGTATGCCTAGCATTGATATTTGTCAATATATGCTTCGCATCGGGTTCCTGGATTGAATGTGTCGTGAACTGGATGAGGTGGGTGCATTCTGAAAGGAAGACGCCCCTAAGAACTTCCCATCCCTGAGAAGTGTGCATTCGTGTGAGGAGGAGGCCCACCGTTTACCCAGAGTTGAGTGCTCCTTCTACCGTGAATCTCGTCGTGCTTTGAAATGCCTCTTAGGGGTGTCGGATGGCCTCTCCCATGTCCAGGCGTTGTCTCGTAAGGCATTATATCAGGTGTTAGTTAGGGGAGCCGTTCGTGATGAACTGATTGACGGGCTCAATCTTACGAAGCAGGAGGCTCGCTCAATATGGCCTTGGGCACCCGGGTTAATATGTCTCAATAACAATGAGGCATCACTCACCTGACTGGTGATGCGTGGGGCCCTCTGGGTTGCCAAGAGACTTTGCACAGTGAGCTTGGAAAAATATCCAAACTGCACGCCTTCTTTCATTGCAGGGTGGTAGCATCGTTGTGCAAGTATGTTGAAGGCCTCATGGTTCGCATGCTACCTGGAAAGTTCTTTGTCCTTGAGGCCGCTTCTGTTTGTATCAATGTGGCTCCGCCGCTGACGAGGGCTGAACACTATGTGTTCTTATGCTTGCTAGGTGTTATGAGAGTCGTGATTTGGATGACACGTCAGAATGGATTCTATGAAGGTGAGAAGTTCACTTCCCAGCTGATCTTATACTTTAAGCATCAGCTTAAGGTTAAGATTAGGACGGAAAGGCGGCGACTTTGAATTTGGCAAAAGGTGGGTGAATCTTGCGCATTTGTGTCATGTGAAAGGGGCTGACCTAGAGTGGCACTTTGATGCCGGTTAGGCATCAGGATATTGCTTTTGCCTGGGTTGAACACGGGCAACCCATTCCAAAATTAGGTTAGCTTAGGTTTAGTTTTGATTCTTTAGTTTCCTTTTTCATTAAACTTAGCTAGGATATGTATGCTCATTGGCCCCTTTTATTTCTGACCCTATTTTTCTTTAAGTATAATTCCCCATCCTCTTCCTCGTTAGGTTGTCAGTGAGGTCAGTTCTGTGAATGTGGGACGTCTTTCGTTTCGTGTGTGTGTTTTCGTATTTGTTGTTGTGTTTGAATGAGTGTGTATCTGTGTGCGTGCTTGGGATGAATGTTTGTTTTATATTATTATAGTCCCGCATTTATTTCGTCCAGTTAACTGATGTTTCTGCTATATTTAGTGATTGTGGTGGTGGTGGTGATGGGGGGTTTATTACTAACATGATTTTGTTTAGTTCCTTGTAAATATTATTATTTCATACTGTAACTACTCACTGGGGTTAGTTTTAAAAAATTTTTAATTATTGTTTTATCCCCCCCACACACACACACAGACGATATATTGTACATATGGGGACTAGTTAGTATTCTCATTGAGACAATGAGGTATTATATGTGGGTGTGGTGAGAAAGGTAAGTAAGAATGTGTTGTTTTGGTGCAAGGAATATTGTAAGTATGATTGGGTCAGCGTTTGTGGCTAGCTAAGTTTAAAGTTAAGACAGAAAACCGACCTTTTCCCTCTCCCCCCTTCCCCTTTTCGGCCTTGTGCCACATATTCTGTTATCACAGAATTAAATAAACTTTTTCCCTCAGGCCTCGTGCCGCATTCCACCTCGCGTGGGGGTGAGGTAAATCTCTTTTTCTTCTTCATTTCAGCGACAAGATGTAAGAAGCTCTTAGAAGATCAGCGTTTCTCATTTCTGGAAAACGCTATGAACATTACAAACATTCACCAAAGAACACACACCATGTCTATGTGCCTTGTAATTTGTTTAATACATATTTGTTGATATATATATATCTGTCTTGTTTGTCTTCTTTCATCTTCGGTTGGACAAATTAAGTCCGCCAATTTTCATGTAGTTGGATCTTTTAATATTCTACCAGGATTTACACACGTGTTTCTAATACAACAACACGTAAATACACACACGCTCCTCTCTACAGAGTGATGGTTTATGAGGCCTATTGTAGTGTATGGTATAGCCGTTTTCACACCCATGTCAGATATCAATGTTCATATCCAGCCAAAAGTTAGCGTTTTAAAAACTAAAAGACTAAAGAAAAACTGATTAAGTTGGACACTATGGACAGACTATCACCCGGAAGATTAAAACAATATTTTCCCCACACCACAGTGCCTTATGCCATTCTAGGTTTAGTAAATATCAAGAATATAATTTTATTTTTGTAAACTTACGACAAGAGATGTGAAGTTCGATTTATTATGATTAAACGTTGTATCAAGACTGCAGCTATCTTGTTCTGAAGCCGAGTAAATACTACAAAACTACTACACAATGACAATGCCATATGGAGTGCAATGTTAGAAGGGGTGAGATTGTGTTACGTTAGTAAGTAGTGGGAATGTTTTTCTACATTGAAAATCAGTATCTGAAGTTCTGACTTTTACCTTGGCTCGAACACAAATATAAAAGCCATGTAGCAAGCGAATCCTCATTGCACGAATATTATCCGGTTTGGTTTGCCGGAAGTTCGCTTGTGCAAACGGAAATCTTTTTTTTTTTTTAATTTGTCTACTCTCGTTATCGGTGACGCTATGGCCAACGTCGGAGCGCTGAGAGAAGCTGTTCGTACATCTAATATTTCTTTGGTCAAGCGATTGGTTAAAGGAGGAGTCTGTGTAGACGAAAGGTTATGGGTGAGTTTCATGATCTTCAAGCGTATACTTAATTCCTATATGTGAATCTCTAACGAATAACGATGCTTTGCGACTCGACTGTTTGTTAGTTACTCGTTTTTTATGCGTTCTGTCGTTGTTTACATTATTAGTTTCAGCATATTTCCTTTTATAAAAGAAAATATCAGAACATGCATTTTGAGTTTTGGATTATCTATCCCTGAACAATCTAAAATTTATTTTGTGCGCTGTTGTTAAAAAATAAAATTAAAAATAGCTCTGTTTAGTTTATGTTTTTGAAACCTCCAAAAAAATTGAAAAAATTAACGTTTTCAAATCACTTATTAATTAAAATTACATTTACAAAATTAAGATTTTTTTTTCACCACCCGAGAAAAAACAACTATATTTGTTTATTGTTTTTCGTTTGGAAAAACGTTTAATTTCGCAATAATGGTCACTTTTTAGTTTGTTTTTTTTTTTTTACTTTTTAAAGTTAGGTCCATTCTCCGACCGTCTTCAGGTGTTTTTAATTTATATGTCAACAGCAACTGATAAAAACAAGTTTCTGGTGAGAATAATTACTTGAAAACTAAAAGCATTTTATTTAGAAATGATTAATTTTATCACGTTTCTCTTTAAATTATCTTTCAAGTTTACCATAAAACAAGCAAAGGCTAAAAAAAAAAAAATAGTGTACAGAATAGGTTATTTGAAGTCTGGAAGATATAGATGCAGCAATTTCCTAAACCAGGTGAGTTAGATTGACAGGAAAGTTGGAAGCAGGGACCATTGGTGTAGCTGAAAGTTCAAGGCTGTTGTAAGCAGGTCCATTAATGCCAATCAACCAAGTGAGTTAGGTTGCGATATTGATGCCAGAAGTAGGGACCAATGAGTAGCTGGAAGTTCAGTAATGTTGTATGTAGGTCCATTGGTCCATATACAACTTGTATAAAATGCTCAAAGCAAGGACATTCCGCTTGTGCATGTCGGTCCAAACCTTCATCAAATTCATTAACAACAGTGGCTGGTCCTCATATACTGACTACACTTACTAATGGACCACAGGAATTCTACTCCTCTGTGACACATGTAATTGTGAAAAAACTAAGTGCTCTACTCAATTTTTGTAGCACAGACAGTTATCTCAGTGAAGGAGTCGTGTGGGAACTAAATTTGAAAGTTCACGCATCTATTAAAGATATCACCATGACACAGACAACTTTAAACACTAATTCAAGGGGCTATGTAGTTGTAAATCTAACACTTTGCCATAACAACCATCATATATTGCTGTCTGTTTGGGTGTTTTGAAGGTTTTGTGTTCTGACATGATATCCGGTCAGGATTTTCTGTGTCATCATCAGAATGCAATGTTCAAATATGGTGGGTTCCTGCCTGAATTAACTGTGGTCAATACTTGTCAATTCTGTGCATTAAATGTGGCATAGATAGAAGACGCTTCACTATTTCCTAATTTATCACTGAACTGTAAGCCAATTGCTACCAAGTTGAGACACTTTAACAAGGAAGATCAGGCCATCATCACTAAAGAAAATCAGAACTTGCTTTATAAAGGTGTAACTGAAGAATGCATTTCACCATGGTGAGCCCAGCTAGTTAGTGGTGAAGAACCTTAATCACTGTCATAAAAAATAATAAATCTATACACAGAACTGTATGCTTATCCCTTACCAGGAATTGATAAAATGATTAATGACCTCACTAGATACAGCATCTTTTCTCAATTCAACCTCAAAAGTGCCTACCACCAGGTGCTGCTTAAAGAATCAGATAAAAAATACACTGATTTTAAGGTGAATAGTTATTTTTTTTTTTTTTTTCAGTTCTGCAGAATTCTGTTTAGGGTCAAAAACATGTCTGCCTCATTCCAGAGAGCTGTTAACAGAATAATAAAGAAAGAAAACCTATGTGGTGCATTCCCTTATATTGACAATATCATAATTACAGGGTGCACACAGACAGAACACGACCAAAATATAAAAAAGGTCCCTGGAGGCTACTACAAAAGCTAAACTTACCCTCAACAAGTTGAAATCTGTGGCTTCAGTATGCTCCATTAATATGTTGGAATACTGTGTTGTTAGTGGAATTATTAAGCCTGACCCAGAAAGACTTTGTCCCTTAAAAGAGTTACCTCCACCAGAAAGCACAAAATCATTAAAAGGGTGCTGGGCATGTTCACATATTATGTGTCATGGATAAATGAATTTTCTAGAAACTAAAAAATTCCCAATTGAGAAAAGCTTTCAATCAATTAAAAAAAGAACTAGGGCAGGCTGCACTACAACCAGTAGATGAAAGCTTACCTTGAGGTTGAGGGCAATGCATCAGACGTCTCTATTTCTGCAGTACTCAACCAAGTAGCATTCATGTCAAAAACACTACAGGGGAGTGAATTAAAATATCACATAATTGAGAAGGAGGCAACAGCAATTATTGAGGTGGTTCATAAGTGGAAACACTGTATAACATGACAACATTTCACCCTAGTTATTAACCAAAGATCGGTGGCCTTCACGTTTAACAACAAAAAGCTTTTAATTAAAATTAATTTAAAATTAAAAATGCTAAGATTCAGGAGTGGTGGATTAGAACTTGCAGCATTTGACTACACGATAAAATATCGTCCTTGCAAGGAAAATGTGGTTCCTGACACATTTAGCTGAAGTTACGTTTGTTCAGCCATTACCACTTCAGCCCTCACCAATATTCACAATGGACTATGCCACCTGGGAATTACTAGACTCCTGCATTTTGTTTGAGCAAAAAAATTCCCTTTTTTCTATGGAGGTGGTAAAAAAAAAGTGCACTTCTTGTATAGTCTGTGCAGAAATTAAACCTCATTTTTATTGCTCACCAGAAGGCATTCTAACCAAGGTGACCAGACCCATAGAACAACCAAGTATTGACTTCAAGGGAACTGTGCCTTCTGTCACACATAACACATATTTATTTGTAATAATTGATGAATACTCATGGTTTCCATTTATCTTCCCATGTTCAAAAATGCACATGGCATCAGTAATTAAATCCCTAGATCTATTGTTCAGCTTAGCCAGGATGCCTGGCTATATACACTCAGACAGAGGGTTTTCCTTCCTGTATGAGGAACTGAGAAACTCTCTCTCCCAAAAAAGGGTCGCACCAAGTAAAACCACTCCATGCTACCCAACCAGGAATGCACGGGTTGAATGATTTAATGGCATTATATGGAAGGCGATTCATCTAGCCATTAGGTCGCCTAACATACTCAAAAAATACTGGCAATTTGTGTTTCCTGAAGTGTTCCACTTCATAAGATCATTGCTGTATATCTCAACAAATGCCACCCCTAATGAATGCTTTCTTGCATTCCCATACTGCTCATCACCAGGTCCCATACCATTAAAAAGGTTTGTAAGAAACAGTAAAACCGATCCTTATATAGACCAAGTTGAACTCTTCAACAGTAATCTAACATATACCAATATAAGATATCCAGGTGGAAAGAAGTCTACTGTATCTGTTCACAATTTGGCATCCTGCCCTGAAATGGAGTTAACCCCTGACCAAATTTTTCTGATTTCATTCTCCATTCAATTCTTAGGCTTGCTTGCATATTTTATATTTAGAATAAAATCATCAGAGTAACAGTAAAGAGTGAGTTCTGGACAAACTTTAGGAAATGATAAGGACTTTTTTTTTATAGAAAAACATGTAAAAACACATTTCTATCACCTGATGCATTTTTTTAATATCTTTCAGTATGGTCGCACATTATTACAGGAATGTGTCACACTTAGTGATGAGGATATGGTTAAATCCCTCATTGAATATGGTGAAGCAGATGTGAATACACAAAATGATGTAAGGAAAAAATTTTCTTTTTGTTAAAAAATGATACATCAATTTTACACTTAATGTTTTTTTTTTTTTTTTTAGTTGATAAATACAATGTGCCAGGTATTTGAGAACACATCTTTAGCGGTTGTGACACGGCCTAACCAGCACAGATAAATCTCACTCCACAACCCCTACACTTACAGTCACACTTTGTTCAAAGAAGATATGTAAACAAAGCTAGTTGCAACCCCCAAAGCAAAGTCACCTGTAATGTTGGCATTTTCAAATATAGAAATATCATTTGGTTGAGAGATTAACAAGTGTAAAAGATTTTTGTTAAATCAATTGAGTTACAATTATTAGTTTCATCTTTCTACTGATACTAGCTACTCAGATGTGTCCACAGCCAAAACTGCCTATGGTCAAAGTACTAGCAGGGCAAAGATAAATGAGAGTGGTATTGATAGAAACAGATGTCAAGTCTTCAATCATAAGAGGTCAGCACTTCCTTCAGCTTCAGACTTGGTCCAGATAGTTCAGCTGGTCCTAACTTTGCTTCTTAAGTCAGGAATCTGGCCAACTTTTTCTTAAATGCAATTTTTTGACAAGCCTTCAACTTGGATTCAAGTTAATCTTACACATAAAAAATATTTTCTCCTTTTTCTTTTCCCTACCACTGTCATTTAATCTCTATGACAGGCCAAGAGCTTGACTCTTTGCTTACAAAATTTTTCAATCAACAACAAGCTTAACTCTGCCAGCCACCTTTTAGATTGACAGGTCTTCTCAACAATTCACAGAAGTTTTCAATTTTTCCAAATTTTAATTGTCAACATTTAATGTATGGTCAGAAATATTATACTTATTTTTTTATACTGGACTTAACTCCTCATAATGAATTTTAATTAATTACAGTTGACCATCATTACTTTAAATTTTTCATGCAGCTATTGTATTATGCAGGCCATAATTATTGTAATTTTTCCATTATTATTATTGCATATTTTTTACCAGAGCTTGCAATTTTGTGTTAGTCATTGCTTTTCTTTATCACTCCTTATTACTGTTTCCCATATTGTATTCATTTCTATGCTTGGTCAGCTCAGGAGACTTTTGTGGCCTAGCACATGTTCTGATTGCTTAAGTTTTTGTACTTTCCAGTGATGTTCTCTGTCTATTATTTCAACCTCATCCCCACAGGGGACGGTGATCTCCTTTTCCCTCTATGTGTGTTCAGCTATGCCTGATTTCCTCTTGTGTTACCACTTTATGATGTTCTTGCAGTCTTACCTTAAGGGGGCAGCCTGTTTCTCCTTTATATTTCTTACCACAGCTGCACCGGATGTCATGTTCTCCTCTATGGGGGGGGGGTCTTACTTGGAAGAGGTGTCTGCAAAGTGTTGAACCACTTTTGAAGATTGTTTTGATGCTACATGGACCACAGATCTTTTGTATTTTCTCTGATAATCCCATCACATAAGGTAGACAGACTGAAGCGGTTTTCTGGGTGTTGTTATCCTCTTGTAGTCTTCTATCCCAGTTTGTCGGCACTGCTGTCATGTACCCAGGGTAATTGTTAGGTTGTAGGGTACTGCTTATACTGACCATTTCTTGTTCGTACATCTCTGGGTAACCACTTATGACTTTTGCTCAAAGCAGTGGATGATCCCTTTCTTTATATCGTCCTGGGTATGATAGTAAACTACATCTGCGTCCTGGGTAAGACAATAAACTATGTCCAACAGCAAGGCCTCTGATCAGGTGGCTTTTAATTGCTGGTGTTCCCAGGTCCACTCTAACCTGGGGTGGTAGCACCTGTTAGGGTCCCTGCTATGGGCAAATAGTTAACCTCCAAACTGGGGTCAAAACACTATGAAAGTGTACAAATAGGTTTTAACTTTGTAAAAAAGAAAATATTACCAGCACTACATTATTTCCAGCAATACATTTTTGAAAAAAAAAAATTACCAACAATACATTTTTGAAGAAAAAATATTACCAGAAATAGATTTTTGAAGGAAAAAAATATAACCAACAATACATTTTTGAAAAAAAAAAAAAAAAAATATATTACTAGTAATAAAAATTTTGTTGGCATTAAATAGCCCATTGAAGTTGATATGCTGTAAGACAAACCAAATCAAACGAAACCTTTCTTTACACTATATGGGTGGTAGGAGTTGAAGTTGAGGTATTGGCTGGTGAATATCGACTTGCAATATATGGATGTCTTGAACCCAGGCTCTGTTTGAGATATTAGTACATCCAGGAATACCAAGAGTGTCTCCTCCATGGGTACCTCTGTAAACAAACTCACCATTTTCAGGCTCACCATCTGGTTGGATTGGATGGAAGCATCTTTAATTATAATAGAACTATAGAGAGATCTCTCCTCAGCATTGTTGGTAAAATATACGCACAAGGTATTCTTGTTTGATTGCAGAAACTCGTAGAATATGTCTGTCCCAAATCACAGTGCAGCTTTTGCACCAACAGATTGACAGTAGACATGATATTCTCCACCAGTTTCAGGAAAAATGCAGGGAACAGAACATGCCCCTGTACATCACCTTTATCGATCTCATGAAGGCGTTTGATTTGGTTAACAGAGAGGGTCTACCTAAGATAGGACATCCACCAAAATTGCAGAGCCTTATTGAATCTTTCCACATCAACATGAAGTACAGTATGACAGAAGCACATTGGAGCTGTTTGACATACACTGTGATATCAAACAAGGCTGCATCCTTGACTCAACACACTTTGGGATCTTTTTCATCTTGCTCTTGAAGCATGCCTTCAACATGATAACCGAGGAGGTCTACCTTCACACCAGATTGGATGGCAGGCTGTTTAATCTCACACGCCTCAAGTCCAAAACAAAAGTATGGGAAGCTCTGATCAGTGACATGCTGTTTGCAGATGATGCTGCTGTCACAAACCTACACACACAGACTCTGATGAATTGCTTCTCTGAGTCCTGCAGAGACTTCAGACTGACTATCAGCCTAAAAAAGATGAATGTAGATGTACCACCAATCATCACCATTGATGACTATGAGTTGGATGTTGTGAACTTCGAGTCTACAATCGGTAGTAACCTCACCCTGGACACAGAAATAGACAAGAGGATTGGGAGGGCAGCAACCACATTCACTCACCTCACCAAGAACTCCAAGCTCTCTGTCATGATGGCAGTCTACAGTGCCTGTGTCATAAGCACACTTCTCTAAGGAAGCAAGACATGGATAACATATGTCAAGCAGAAGAGACTGAACACTTTTCACTTGAGGTGTATCGCCACATCCTGGGCATATGGTGGAATAACAAAGTGCCCAGCACTGAAGTTCTGTCTAATGCTGGCCTAACATCCATGTTCACTCTGCTCAGACAACATAGGCTCTGATGGCTGGGTCATGTTTGTTGTATGGAAGATGGCTGAATTTCCAAAGACATCCTATATGGGGAACTTGCAAATGGCAAGAGTAGACACCAGTTGCCCTCAGTTGCGCTACAGGTATGTCTGTAAGAGGGACATGATGGCCCTTGGGATCAATAGTAATCACTGGGGGGACCTTAGTGCTGACTGTTCTGGGTGAAGAAGCACCCTGACTAAATAGTTAATGTCAGGAGAGGAGAAACTGAACAATGCTGCAGAAGGCAAACAGAAAAGAATGCTGCAGCATAGACAACACACAGACAATTCACAGGTGTGACAGACTGCTACTCGTGCATCGGCCTGTTCAGTCACAGGTGGTGATGCTCTAGAGGAGCAGATAGGTGGGATCAAATCCATGGTCATTGATGACTGGTAGAAGCCTTTTAATTTAATGGTGGACCACATTTTCTAGAGCATTATCTTGCATTCATATACAATACACATTTTTTTAAATTCATCCCAAGCAAGGTGATAATTCTGCTAAGATGCAAGAGGTTACTGAAAGAGAAAGAGACTTTAGTGAGTAGAAAGGACAATAAAAGAACAGGATTCAAGAAGACAGATGGTGATTGACATGCATTTTAATTTTTTCAGAATGTATGTGGCAGGGAACCAAGAAACTAGAAGACTTCCACAGGCAAGAAGTGCAAGAAAAGCTATTTGAGTACATACATTCATGCACACGCACACATCATGTTGAAACACCTGTTCTTGTGCGATTACCAAAGTTAAGCAACACTGAGCCTGGTCAGTAACTTGATGGGTAACTGTTTGGAAATACCAGGTACTGTAAGCTTGGATGTGCAGGTGGTGTAATAGAAAATGGCTCAGAATCATTAATCGGAGAGCTGAGTTCTAATTCCTGTTGGGTTTGTTATATTCACTTACATACAAATACTCTTGGGAAAAGTATGAATCCACATATTTTCTGCCATGCTATGGGTTAAAGACTTGTATCTGTAAACCATTATCTTTTAAAAAAAAAAAAAATCTTACAATCAAAAAATATTTTCTGGCATTAAATAACCTGCAAAAGGTTGATAAGCTGTAGAAAATCAATCAATCTGATTTAGTTATAGCTTCTGTCCAGTGTCAGTGTTGAAATTGAATTATACCAGCCTCTTTGAGAATTAGAATCCCATAAAAAAGAGCTTTGGGTCCTCCGTCCAATGTGTCCTTTTCATCAGTGTTGGTCCTTACAGATTACAACTGGTATGTTCAGATAAAAAGCCATTCTCAATTGCTGGTTGGTTGATGCAACTAAATGACGGAACTTTTCTCCTTTTAGCTTTATAAAAATGAAAACGCCATAAAAATTTTTATAGAAATGAAAAAAATGATTTAAGAGTGAAATTACTTATTACAAAGTTAACATTTGATTCAAAAGTCAGTTGTTATATAAAGTTTGCCAATGTTTCACTAGATTAAATGTATGCTGGAAAATTGAGTTGTACCTTGAAAGAAAGTGTTTTATTCTGTTGTCAATTGTTTTGCAGGATGGCAAAACAGCCTTACACATAGCCTCCAGGGCAGGTTCTCTCAACATTGTATCCCTTTTGCTTGAAGCTGGAGCACGTACTGATACACAATGTCTTGTAAGTATTTTTTCAATCTTTTTAACTGGTGTCTTATAAGTATTTCTAATTAACACTCACATTAGAAGTTAAAATTATTTCAAGAAACTAGAATGAAAACTGTTTTAAGTCATTATTATTTGGACTCATGTCTTCACTTTTGCTGTTTTTAAAATAATTTTTTCCTATATCGTCTGGCCCTCCATTTTTGTTAAGATGAAATATTTTCAATATTCCACAATATAATTCAATTTATATATAGTCTCTGGTCTCTGAAAACTATCAAAGATTTTGTTTGCCTTATAAGCACTATCAAGTGAATCTTTCATAGTCAAGTGCAGCAGTTTTGGGGGATGATACTTTTCATCTTTGTTGTTTTTTTCACCTGTTTCAGCTTCTGTATTCATTGTTTTTTTTTTTTTTTGTTTTTAGTATCATTTGAAGCTCTGAGATTCTCTTTTCATTATTCCCTGAATTGAGGAATTACATATTCTAATATCAAACAATATTCAAACTGTATGTTTATTATTACTCTATGTATTTTTTAGATTATCATCTTCATTTTTATAAATATTGTGGTTCCGTTCTAAAATCCTCAAAGATTACAGGATTTGACATTACCTAAGGGAAAGCTAAAGAATACACCAACTGAAACTTTAAAATAAAAAAAAAAAAATAAAAAAAAAAAAATCAATGAAAGACATATTGTTAAAACATCGCATCTCAGGTAGTCAGACAAATTATAATTTCTAAGCTAAAAAAATTCAAGGTAAAATTGCTGAAATGTTCATATAAATTTTTCTGGGAAGAAAGATTGAGTATAGTCATCCTAAAATGTGGCTGTTTCAAGTAAATGAATCTTTTTGAACAGCCACACTTCTCTCTAGAAAATAAAAACGGAAGGTATATTTTATGCACTTGGTAAAGAACCTGACATGAAATTTGTTTTCATTTCATTTTAACTGAACAAAAAGAAAAAAAAAAAAAAAAAAAAAAAAAGGCAAAATCTTATTTCAAGTTTTCTTATAGACAAAATATGAGATTTGTTAGAATTAACTTCTATTAACTATAGATAGGAATTTCAGTTCAACTGTAAATGATTGAAATTTCTGCCACACAACTTTGTAACTCAATGAGAATGATGAAAATTCCCATTTAGTAGTGAATGCTGCATTTAAAAAGCAGCAACTGAGCTGCTCCTACTATTGTTAAAAAAATAAATGATTTGGAATAAGATTTCATCACTGTCAACGATTTTGTGTAAATGACTTAGAACAGTTGAGTTGCCATATCCCATTGCAATTTATTTTTCGCAGTTATTTGCTTCTTTAAATTGTTCTTGCAGAAATGCAGTGGGTTAATTGTTGTTGTTGATTTAGATTATCATATTCTAATATATTATAATAGTTGTGCAAAAATATATTACTCATTCCTAATGATTAAAGTGTCCTTTGTTAATTTTATATCAGTCCCTTTCAGAATTTAGCTTAAAACATTATGTGCCACTTATCTTGAACATCAAAAAAGAGATGCATTTACTTTTTCTGCATGAGTTCAAGCTTTGGTCATAATGTTTATCAAACTGCTACCAACATTAACAGAAATGAGGTGAAGGATCCACAGTATGATTGAACAGTATGGTGCTGATTTCTGAAATTCCACAATGAGGATACAAGTCTTCAAGATGATAAAAGACGTCCGTCTGCAATAGACAATCAGCATCTTAAAACATGAGTTGAACCAGACGCACTTCAAAGTGTCAAAAAAATGTCTTAGATAATAGGTGTCAGATTTTCAAAAATATTGAACCAGTCAAGAAAATTGGCAAGGTGAAGAAACTTGATAAATAGGTTCCAACTTAACTCGGTGTAAGTTAGAGTTTGACATTTTGAAGCATGTTCGATGCTGCATCTATGAAATTTTAATGATCAATTTCTTGATCAAATAGTGACTTGTAATGAAAAAATAATTCCTTGACAATTATAAACGCTTGGCTCAATATCTTCATCATAACAAAGCACCTAAACACTTGTTGAAATCGAGTTTGCACCAACAGAAGATTATGGTGACTGCCTGGGGTTCTGCCATTACATCTTTCTGGAATCTAACCAGAGCCTCACAGCCATAGTTTACTGCCAGCCATTCATTTAAGCAAAATGCAACTGGCACTGGTTAATTGATCCAATTCTGCTTCATTACAATGTTTAGCTACATGTTGAAAACTAAAACTGTATCAGGCAATCATTTTATATCTATTTCTTTATAAGTGCAACAATATATGAAATGAATTCTCCTGATTTAGATCCTCTGCTTTACAGTTTAAAGCAGATTCTCTGGTTTTACCAATAAATGATTAAGTTACTGCTGGTGTTTGCTTTGTTGCATCATAGCCGACTAGTATTATACAAGCCCCACATGTCACATAACAAGCTGAATTCTAATGGGCCAATGTAATGTAAACAAAAAACTGAATGGCTGCTTAGAAAATTGCTAATCTAAAAGGGAGGTAACTTTAAAAATTGAATTCTTAGAACATAAATTCTATGTAACTGTACATTGTTAATTTATCAGAAGTTATTTAAATTCTCTAGACATGTTTTCAACACTAAAATGAATATTTACACTTTTTTTTTTTTTTTTTTGACTAATCCACAAATTATAAACAGCTGTGAGTTAACTTGCTTTTATGATTTTCAATTGCGTCTACAGCCCGTTTTGCAAAAGAATGCTATTAGGTAAATTTTCTACCTCATAGTTCATTGCATTTAAAGATTAAATTATAAAGTTTGTTGTGTTTAACAAAAATGGTTAACAAATGTGTTGCATTTGGCTGTTCTAGTGGATATGTTACTAACAGTGAAAAAGTATCATCATTTTCTTTTCCTTTTGGAAAATCTGACCTTGTAGAAAAATGGATAAAATTTGTTAATAATTGATTAGTTTCCTACAAAAAATTAGTTCTCTGTATGAAACATTTTAAAGAGAAATTCTTTTTGAAAAGAAAACTAAACTGGATTAGGATTTACATCCAATACTTACAATACATTCAGAAAAAAATAAAACCATCTCTTTTGCTAAATACAAGAGAATTCAGAAAACCTCCAAAACAGCAACTAGTCAAGCTGATACAATAAAGGATTTTACTCAGTTGGAAGAAGTAAAATGTTGTTTTAATGATTTTGAATTTAAAAATAAGGAAGATTATATTCTAATTTATAGAATAGTCTTTGACCCTGAAACACATTTTCCATCTATAAAAGAATGTATTCGCCTTGACCAAAACTTTCATGTCCAGCTCTAGTGTGATGGAACCCATATACTGTTACCACAGTGTTTTTTTTATACATGGATATAATGCTAAACTCACAAGATTTAGCATGTTAGAAAATTTTCCAAACTGCATACAAAACGTGGTGGAAGAACAACCAAACTCTTTTCTAAAAGAATTATAAAAAAAAAAAAAAAAGACAACTTTACCAACCAAGAACTTTTTGCAGAACTAATATGTTATGCCTTATCTCTGTGCTATACATCTCAACAAGCCTATAAATTACTTTTGGAGAAATTTCCATTACCATCTTTTTCTTTATTAGAGAAAATTCAAAAAAATTAAACATTTTCAGTGTAAAATGTACTCCCTGATCATGGTAAGCAATGATAGTGATGATGCTACAGAGAAGCAGTACTTTGGTTTACTTTCTTGAGGAGGTCTTATGGTTCCATCTAGCCAAATGGTAGAGTTTTTCTGTGCTTGTTTTACTATACCTGACTATGCAGGTAAACTTATTGTAAAATATAATGAACCTACTACAAGAGAGTCTGCTGAAAGAATTTTGGAAACTTATTCTCCAAAATATGTTTTTACTTGTCAATAATACACTGAAAAAAAGGTATTCACTTTGCAAAATTCTTGTGAATATATTTTACAACAACAAATGAAAGTTTTCATCAACTTTTTCATAAGTTTGAAAAAATTGTAGAATGTTTTTAAAGGAAGGCAAAAGTCAAAAGAAAACTGATTTATAGAGAAACTGTTGGTAAGTTTATTTTACTTTTATTTGTTTTGTATTTCTGCTTAATTCTTTAATAACTCATTATTTTTCTGTTTAAAAGAGAGAAAACACAGTCAACCTGTTTATGTATTTTTGGACGACTTTAGCATGTTTTACATAAAACAGACATAAATTGACTATAAACCAAATAGGTCTATTAGAAATTAGCCTGAAACGTGACTGGTGTGATTGTATATATTAGTGAGATGCCAAATTTTCAGTTCATCTTTCCAGGAATCATGCCCTTTCTATTTAAATTTTTAGTGGATGCCAACATTCTGCTACCAAATATGCAAAAAGCAAGCAACACTTCAGGAAGAATCTTAGTTCACTCTAAGTTCCCCAAGTAATGTATTGTTTGCAGTATTTCAGCTGCAAAAACATTTGCCAGTTCTGAAGCAGTTGACATGACAGTTTTTTTTTTATTTCTATACTGTTGAGGTCACAATAGGTAAAATTAATCCTTGAATATTACCCATTGTTTGAGTCACTGACTGTAAATCTCTCAGGCAGTGAAGTTTTCCAAATTTATCATCGACAAAGGAATGTAGATTGAGATAAGTGGAATTAGTGTTAATTAACACATTGACTATTAGGATATTAAGAATTATAATCTAGGAGTTGTTTATTGTAATGTAGTTATTTTAACCATTAAAATAAATATGGAATGCACATTTCAATTGCTGCACTCAACTATTTATGAAAGATTTGATTGATAGAGCTTATAAGGCAAACAAAATTAGAGACCAGAGACTACACCTAAATCAAATTATATTGTAGAATTTTATCAACGTTTCAGTAAAATAATGATGGGATGTTTGCTTTAAAATAATTAGACAATCCTAATTTAAATCATCAACTGCATTTCTTCAAGAACAAAATAGGGATGAAGAAGTTTGTGCTAGAGTGAAAACATGTAAAATGTTCTTACTTTTGATATTTGCTAAGACCAGTTTGATCGGGAAAGGAGTATAGAAAGATTGTCAATTTTCTAAGGGGAAAGATTTTACTGGCTTTAAAAATATACCTTCAAAATCTTAGTAATTTTACTTATTAAATATTTATTAAGATTAATTGAACAAGGTGTAGGAAGATTGCTTTATGCCTGTCTTCCAAATGGGGATTGCCTACCTTCCTTGAAAAGTAACATTTGAAATGTTGGCTTTTTATCTGTCAGTGACAAGTGAGAACTATCTACTAAACAATCCAATATTTTCTTCTGTTAAGAAAATGTTTGACTTGGAACAACTGATCTTTAAATGACAATATTAACTATACATTTTTATCAACTTCAGGATGGTACAACTTCTCTGCATTTAGCCATGTGGAAAAATAAATCCCAGGTTGTGGCAAGATTGATAAAAGCAGGTGCAAACCCTAATCTTCAAGACCAAGTGAGTATAAAATGAAAAGATTAATCTATTTTTTAACAGCATATTTTCACTTTGAGAAAACTGAACCCTGACACCTAGCCACTTGAGACACTATTCCCAGATATTTGGAAAAATTCCATTATTTCAAAACTGCCTGTGTAACAACAAATCATCAGTGAAAAGTAGCAAATGACCAGTACAAAGTTGCTCATCTGTGAACAGCCTTATTCTATCTGAATTTCTGGGATGAGGAGTTATTATTTACAAGCAAACTATTGACATGTTTTGGCTTGTCAATCAATGTAAACTTCAGTGAATTTTTAACTAAACACTTTATTTAATCTATGAGAGTAGATTCTTTTCATTATGCTGTTTAAGAATACCTCATCTAGATCTTAATTAATACTGCTCAGTTATTGTTTGCCAGGGGGTTGAACTAACAATTACCATGTTACCAAATTTGCAAATCAATGCTTTAATCCACTAGGCTATTGTTCATAATCTGGCTGCTGATGAGAAATTTTGAAGATGAAATAAAAATTAATAATAGTGCTCAATATTTATTTTTTTTATGTATGTTCAAAGAGCTTAAAAAATTTCAAGGGAAGTAAATCTTCACCCCAAAAATTGTAAAACTGTTAAATCCAAATTACAGCATAATTTTCTTTATAACACAAACAAAACTATGAAAATAAAACAAAGAAGCAATTTGATATTGGGGTAAAAATAGATTTTGTTAAATTTTTTTATTATGTTAAAACCTTTTGTCTAATCAAGAAATATATCAAATAAACCTGGAAATTCAATAAATTGGATAAATGATTTAAGAATTTTATGTTGGTGTCAATTTTTACTTGTTGAAGGCCTTGTTTGAATTTCCTTCAAGACAACCAAATAATCATCTTTATATACATAACAGCATCAAATGCATAATATGAATGATTTTATAAAAGACTGTACTAAGCTGAACATTATAGAATGTCCCATGAATTTTGATTGTTCAATTACTACTTTTCATCATAACAGCAAATATTTGATAGAAACTGGATACTTGTGTATAGAAATAAGGCAAAACAACATTGGAGATAAAATAAGATAATTAAAAGAATTGGTAATGTAAACTAAAATCATTTAATCATTAGCCATAGCATAGATAACACCATATGAAAAGTTTTGATTAGAAAGGAACTTGCACTAGATTTAAAAAAAATACTTCCCCAAAAAATCTTAGTGGATAAACATACTGATCAAGATAACCTTGATCTTTAGAAGCTAAAGTTAAAATACCTGTGTCAGGCAGTGTATGAATATATACACCTACTAATTTATAGAGCATCATACAGAAGAGTTGATATTTACACATTTTGAAATTCCCTTGGAATGAGAACATAGCCTGTTAATGAAATGAAGAATTCCATTCTCTCATTACAAGAAGGTTATTAAACAGATGCCAATGCATGGCAGTCATTGTGATGAAAACAAAGATATTATTCTGAAAAGATTATTGTATAACAACAAGATCTTGTTTCAGAAAAAATTTAGACTTGAAATAAAAAAGTTGAATCACTGAGTATTAAAAAACAGTTTGAGATTGACATTTTAAAGCCTTTTATATTAATATCTGATGGTTATTTTCTTTACAGGATCACTGGACCCCACTTCACTGGGGTGTTCAGAGCTGTAATTTGGACCTTGTTAAGCTGTTGGTTGAAAATGGTGCTAACATGGATATTGTCAATAAGGTGTAGTATTTTTTGTATACTTTTGTGTTTTGTAAAAGCTAGTAAATGTCTCATTGGAGCAATAATATCAATGGAAATAGAATAAAAAAGATCTTTAAATTTTGTCAAAGTTGATTCTCTTTAACCATCTCTTGGTAAAACTACAGGTTTTAAAACAATCTAATGCTTATTGGTCTATATTTGGGTATTCTTTCTTATTGATAGAAGTTCGTCTAGAAGACTATTGACTTCAGATCATAGCAAGTGGTTCTATCTTTTTGTAATCAGTTGATTACTTTCAAAATTTGTAATATCCATAGAGTATAAATATCTACACCATTTTGAGTTTGGTTTACTGATAAAAAGGCAAGATGGAAGTTATAAGGTCTGAAGTTTATTCTTGGTGCAGGGCTGTTGAATCTATTATGACATTTAAAATGTTGCACTTGGATAATTCTCCCCCAACCTGTATTTTTAAAAACAAAATTATGGAATTGATAGTCCTGTCTCTACACGTGTTTCATACTTGAACATATTAAAATGGTTACCATTATTATTGAATTTTGTCAGTTTTCTTGATACTAGAATCTCACTTGAATAAATATGTGATAATGAGCCTTATGATCTGATCTTTTTACTAAAAAGAACATTTTTACTTGCATTGGTTACTTTAAAAAATATTTTAAATGTTAGCTTAAACAAAAAAAAAGGTTTAATGTAGTGGCAAAGTTAGACTTAATGAATCTTGTCAACTTTGCTAAATGTGATCAGGGTGTATTAATGACTGTGTAGGCCAACATAACTATTGGCTGAATTTTGATTTGAAATTATCTGTGTGATTAATATTCACCTCTGAATTAAGTGCATTGACAAGGAAGGTGATTATGTTGAAAATATGTTTTGAAAATTTGCCTTTTTTTCACCATTAAGTTATGTACCTATCAATTTTCCTTTATAAGTTGTGATGCTAATTAAAAACAAAAGGCCTTGACCTGGTTAAATGACAGTAAATTATTTATCAATTTTTAATGGTATTTTCATTTGAGATTTCCCTCCTCTATTGTTTGAAAATAAGCTTCGAAATTTCCATAATTATTTTTACATTTGATTACCAGCATATAAATAATGATGTCTATCATTAAATCAACCTATTATTGATGTAATGGGTATAAATTAATCTTTACTGGGTGATCTATTATTGTGATGATATATCAAAGTTTAAATATCAACCCACAAATGGTTAGCTCACACACTATTGCTAATTGCACAATGTTAAAGTAAACTTAGTAATACCTTGCTAGCATTTTAATATAATGTAACAATTTTCTCTTATGTTTTTTTCTTCTTTTTGTTCTTAGTCATTACTGACACCTTTTACTTTGTCCGTGGAGATTTGTTGCTTTCCCATTGCAAAGTACATGCTGTTCATGGGTGCAGGTGTTCGGACAATCAATGATACCAAAAAGGTAAATCCAGATTCACATAAGTTACTTGTCATGTAGGATTTGTAAAGACTTTCTCATTCTGTTCCAGTTTTCTGGCAATTCTATTTTTTGTCTTCTCTTGGTGGGGAGGTAAAAATCTTTTTATTCATACACACACACACACACATATATATATATATGTGCTTGATTGCATTTATCATGAAACAGTCTGTTGCCTCTGAGAGTTAACTTCAATGTTTACTTTTATATTTATATACACTATCTCTGATATTGAACACTTTATCCCATAAATATAGCCCACCTTAAAACTATCATTCTTTATATAATAATGATAATGCTAGCTATTAATATAAACAAAATTATAAAATTTAAAAGAATTTTTGCTAATAAAGTGCTCAATATTAGATTAAAGTGATAATTATTAAATTAAATGTAATGTTCAATACTTATCAAAGGTCAACTCGAGTTACATAATTTTTCAATCACTCAATGGGATTTTAAAAAGTTCTGATAAAACTTTGAATATTTAAATTTTTAAATAAAATTTTGAACTTCAAGTCTAACTTTCATAAGTATTGAATGTTATATCTAAATTTCTGTAATAAAGCAAATCATAGCAAGAAACTGTTAAAATGCTTGAACTTTGAGTATTAAAGCAATTTCTAGTTCAACTTGCAACTTAATGTAGAATCTACATTTGTAGACCCCCACCCCAAGTAATCTCCTTTTCCAAGGTAGATCATATTAACTATCTTATAAATACTATTTATATGCAAACAATTATAATATACTTTTAACAAATACCAAATCACTTGACATCAATGAAATCCTTTAAGAGAGATCATTTTTCTCAAGTTCTGTTCTGTAAAATCATTTGCTGCATTGGAATATTTGTAGAAAATAAGGAATAGAGTTGCCCTTTGCTTTACTTTTACCATAAACATTTTACTTAAAAAAAAAAAAAAAAAATGTATATATATATATATTTCTCAGGAAATATATGAATGAAAGGAATATACTTACTTTTGTTTCTTCTGTGAGAAAAAAATTCAAATCCTTTGTTTTTGGAATAAGAAAATAATAAAAATATTCATTTACATTATCTCATTGAGTCTTGTACCCCTCCCCCCATCTATGATGCAAAGCCCAATTACATCTCATCTCAATTTTCATAAGGTAGTATAAAGTACAAATTTTACTGTAACTTAATTATGTACAATAATGGATCATATGCAATATAGGGGAACAATTCAACTTGAAAAAAAAAAAAAAAAAAAAAAATGAAAATCAATACAATGTATCTAAATAGAAATTAAGAAATATATCATAAAAGGTCTGAATGACATCAAAATCTGAAAATTTTTCATCCAGTTGTGTTTAGTTTAATTTGTAACATATACAAATATGGATAGAAAGAAGCAAATGTTGATTAAGATAGTGAGGGTCATAAAGCACTGCCTGGGGTCTCCAATCAGACTTGCCAACAGTTGAGGGATTCAAGGATAGTATGCCCCGGCCCTACTCATTGTTTGAAATATCTGGATAAAAATGGGACTTGTGCGAAAACTAAGCTTAGTGTGTATATATCACAGCTGTTTGAGGTTTCCTATAGCCCCACTGAATTTAAATAAAGTCAATTCAGGTTTCCTATGGTAAAAATTTCTATCCCAAGTAAAAATCATCACAAAAATGGCAAAAGTCATTGTCACAGCTTATTTTCTCTCAAAAAATGGATTTTCATACTTTTATAGGGGTAAAATATTGAAAAATGACTTGTTTTATCATCATCTAAACAAATATCAAGGAAACTTTTGATCTGAACCCCATGAAACTAGGTATTTTCTGAAAGCAAAGGATATATTCTTTCATTTAAAAGTAAAATTGGTTGGTGTAAATGACTTCAATGTTTTTTTCAGGGGGTAAAATATGAAAAAAAAAATAGTGAAAATTTTGCATTTTTTCTAGTTCTAAACAAAAACTTACCCTATTAATGGGAAATTAACCATTTTTTTTTTTTGAAAATCAGAAAGCCTAAATCAAACTATTTCAGGCATAAAATTGAGAATTTTGAAGGAAATCAACATTCCTAGGGTATCAAAATGTGACAAAGTCAGGGGTCAACATTAGTAGGGCTTGATATAACCTATGTTTGAACAATGGCTTGATGTGTTTTGTTTCGTTTTTAACACCCCCAAGACACGGGGTTATGACAACACTTAGCAGACGACTGTTTTTTTTCGCCGCATATCTTTCCTATTTCCCCATCACCGGACTATTTAGCCATTCCTTTTTATTGAATGATGTTCACACCAAATTAAGGAGAAATGGATGAAGTTTGAATGATATTACTTTAAAGTGAAAATAAATATTTTTTCATAAAAAAAAAAGGTGATTTTTTTCTCAGAAAATTGGGCATAATTTCCTAATGCTAACCGCCGAGTGACATTTTCCACAGCCAAATTGAAGATTAATTACCAGTGAATAATTCCATGTGCAAACAATAGTTGTCTGGATCCTATAATGTTGCCCGAAAAGGTCCAGAAGTTTACTGATTGAAAACTTTTTGTACATAATTGTGTACTGTTTAGCATAGGTTTGTTTTAAGATAGCTAAAAAGAGCATGATGAAAAAACGCCAAACTTGATGAAAACAAAATTTTATCATTTAAATGTTTGTTATTAAGAGGAAAGATCACAGTATCTTGGTATTTTTTTACATTTTTAATCATTCCTAGCATGTCCGAAATTTTCGTTAAAAATCTTGATTTTTGAGTCAGCAAAATTGACAAATGGCAACTATTTTATAAAAAAAATGAAAATCTCACTTTGAAATTCTTTTAAATATCAATTATCATTTTTTCAAAACTTATTTTAAGAAAATCAGAAATTATGTTTATTTAAAATATTTTGAACCAACCTTAACTTAGCTTAGCTTCTGTGCTGAAAAGATGTAATTTTAAAATAAAACAAAGCAGGTCAAAACTTTCACCTCACTTGACAGGTGAAGTGAAGTTTTTACATTTAAGTGAACAAATTATTTACCTCGTTATTTTTAAGGAAAACTTTCAGCACTAATTTATTTTCGGAATTAGCTTTCCCCTTTATGTTTATGATGTTTTATGGAAAATATATTATAAAGACATTAAAATAAGACTTAAGAGTGAGATTAAATTTCATATTTTATAAGAAAGGTATCTAATTAATTTATAGGTACCTTATGAAATTTTATCAGAAGTGTACATAAAATACTATAATTTTATGTACATTTATTACATTTTACTGTTATTTGTATTTCCATTCATTTTATTAATTTTGATATTTCATTTATGGAAAAATGTCATAACTGAGATTAGTATAAAAATAAGATCATATAAATTTCGTAAGATGATACATATACTTGAAGCATAGAAATTGAAAAATCAAATTAACTTCTCCACACGTGTTTTGCAAAAGTAAAGGCCTTAACAGCAGAGAACAATGCTTAACTCAAACAAAAGCAACTTAATTGTATTCTGGTTGGTCTTCCATACTTTATAATTACAGCCCGATTATAAACACAAAATTACATTTAATTACTGCGGATCTTCTGATTAGTCAAAATGATACAATTTACAATGCACTAAAAAAAGATCTATCTCATAAGGACACTTAGGAAACCTGATACGGCTTTTAACAACTTAAAATGTAAAAATCTATTATAATTAAAGAAATAACAATTAATTGTATTAAAAATTCATTTTTCATCAAATTTTTTTGCTTTTAGAAAATATTGCCCATATTCATAAAAACAACTAAAAGCAAATAAGTTTTCAAATTAAATAATATATCCGTTTTGAGTTTTGTATGTTACAATCCAGAGCAGATTTTCAGGTAGGGGGTCCAAAAACATGATTTGCATTCCTCAAAGCCCTGTGCTTTTAACTATTGTAATCACTAAACTTGACGTGATCAAATTTCTAGCATTTTCATAAAATTAGTTATGAGGGGGTAATAAATATAAAAAAAAAAAAAAAATTTCTGCCATGACTTAAAAAAAAAAAAAATTTATAATTTCGACCATCTGTGAATAGTTTCTGAAAGTTTCATTAACATCTGACAATTATTTCTATTTTTGCAAGATTTTCCAAATTGTGTGTCATACAAAAAAAAAAAAAAAAATGACAAAAATTGTATATGTTATTTTGCTAGTTCCTGTGATACAAAGAGAAATAAGGATTTTTTTTTTTTTTTTTTAAAAAATCAAAACTTAGAATGTTATAAAGAGGAAAAATTTTTAAAAATTAAAATAAACTTTGATCTTTCCTCTTAATAATAACATAAGCATTTAGCCGAAAAAAAATTTTGTTTTCATCAAGTTTGGAATCTTTTTCATTAGGCTATGCTCTTTTTTAGCAATTTCATGGAGGTACCTACTTTAAGAATTTTACATTCTATGAGGTGTTTAAAATGTTATTGACAAATGAGATTTTTTGCCGAATATTTTGTTTACGCGTCATGTTGGATTTTCCTATATGAGAAAAACAAGGCTTTTAAACAGCTGTGATATATACAATGAAAGAAGTTTTTTTTGTTTTATCTTCTGTTTGTAAAGATTTTAAATGTAATTCTTGTTTATTTTTAATTTACTTAAAATTATAATGTCAAGCAATGGAAGATTTATTCCAAGTTCTCATGTGATCTTATACACTTTCCAAAATTAGTGTTTTGATGTTTGGACATTGAAGCATTGATTTTGAGAACTTTTCGGAACCCCCTTGCATTTATTTATCTGGAGTCTGGACATCATTGTCGAAAACATTTAGCAGATGTAATCAAAACTACTATCCTGAATACAAGATTAAGTCGCTAAACTTAGATTACTCCATTTCTACTAATACAACATGGGTCTGCATGGTAGAGTAAGGTCGATTATTCCACATTTGCTGTATTGAAACAACCCTTAGGCCAATGGTGGGGAAGGCCAATGTCCAACAATGGACTTTAAAGCTACCCTGCTATTTAAACTGTATCTCAATGTAAAGTACTGCTGAAAAAGAAGTTCATGATCAAACTAGAAAGGAGTTTAAAGAAAAAAATACATTGGGGCTAAGAATTTTTTGCCACTTGCTCATGTGTATGTATATATTACTTTTTTTATTAACACTCTGAACACAATAGTGTTGATCCATACATAAATAATCCATTATTTTTCATGGATGTTATACTAGTATTGTGTATAGCAATTTATTAAATTTTCTGTATTATTTTTATTACAGACTCCCAAAAGTGTAATTTCTCTGCTGTTGCGTCCTGAAGTTGTAATGAGAGAGGAAGTAAATGTACCAAAATTTGTAAAGCTGTTGGTAAAGAATGGTTACAATCTTTGGAATGATGCTGAACTGCTGTCAAGCAAAGTGATGGCTAACAAGGAATGTGAGAAAATCAGACAACTCCTCCTCTCTCAAATTTCTAACCCTCACAAACTTCTGGATCTTTGCCGACACAAATTGTGGGACATGCTGCATCATAAGCATGCTAGAGGCAAATTTTTAAACATGGTTTGTTCTTTACAGATTCCCACTCATCTCCAGAATTTCCTCCTCACTCAAGCTGAACTCAGACTACAGCAGTTGGCCAGGAGTTCAAGTTATGCATCAAATCAATCATGTATTGATCTGTCATCAGGGTCTGATCTAAAAAAGACAGGAATAATTCGGTTAAAGAAGACATCAAGTCTCATTACTGCTGGGAAGGAGATGGCCAGGCTTGAACAAGATCATCCATCTACTTCAAAATGCAATAATCATGTGGATACCCTACCCAAAAAGAAGGCTCCAAGGATTGTTTTTAATAGTCCACAAACTGTTGGAGATACCTCTTTGATTGACTGCCATAGGAAAACAAGTTTTTTGCTACCACAGATGAATTCAAATCAAAATATGTCCAGGACTTCATCTTCAAAGGCATCCTCTTTAAATGATATCCAAGCAAACCAATGCCAAAAAGAAAGTGTCAAACCAGAAACATTGAGTATTCCGTCCAAGGATGCTGGCAAGAAAATTCCTCCAATGGACAAGGTGCGTAAACTTTGCCGATTTAATTTTGATATGATGCCAGTGAATTCTGATTCTAACAGATTTGAAAGATGTGCCAAAAAGCGACGAGCTTGGAAGAGCGAGGATTCTGTAAGAACTTGAGAAAAAAAATTTACAATTTTTTAAAAATTGTTAAATTTATTTTTTAAATTATTTTTTATATTTAAAATAAAAATAAAAAGCAATTTTATTCCTTTTTCTCATAAAGAGAAAATGTCAGGCTTGTATTTAGTATATGAAGGCATCATATTGCAAAATTACATTTACTTTAAGTTCTGATAATGTTCTTGAACCTCTCATCAGTCCAAGCAAAGAAACAATAACTCAGTGATATTTAAACTAGAAACTTTGCAATTTGTGTAAATTGTTTTGTAACCCAAACTATTGATATAAATGATGAAATCAATTATGGCTGTTAAAATGTAATTTTTGTTCACATATTCAGTTCTAAACATTGCTATTCTGCTGGAGATTTTTTTGACAAAATGTATTTAATATTTGTTTTTCACAATATTTAAAAAGCCATAAATTATTCTGAAGAGGCTTTTTGGTACACTAATCATTTTTTTCTTTACAACATTTTTTAAAGATTTAATGTAAAGATTGGAGGAGTTAATATATTGTTTGGACAAAATGGTTTTCATTAATTAGAAAATTCTGTATTTATAAAATACTTGATTATCCTTGGAATAATATACCTTAATCAAGAATTTTAATTGCATTTGTTGTTGATAGTTCTGATATTCAGGTCACTCTCTCCTTACTTTACAACTTAAAAAAAATTTTTTTCAAATCAAATTTAATGTCCAGTAAAAATTCTCCCATTGCCAGAAAGAGTGGTAACTATAATGAATTTAAAATTTATTGGTAATTTTTTAACATAAAATGTCTTTGTAAGACTATAAAGCCAATGTACCTAAAATTCAATAAAATATTAATAGAATGTTTAAAATAAGATTACTGGGAAGTAAAAAAAAAAAAAAAATATAGAAAAAAGTATTTACATAATATTTGTCATGTAAATTTATTATGATTATCTCCTTATATAAATTTCCCAAACTGGCTGACTATAAATGTGACAACCCCTCATAAAAACCCCAAACTCCATGTTAAAAAAAAAAAATAATGATTTTCTTTGATATTTTAAATTAAAAGTAATATTTGTTTCAATTCAGATTAATTAGACTTTAAGGCAACTAATTTTTCTCAACTTTTCAAAAAAGTATATTTTATTTTTGAAAGATTTTTTTTTTAATAAAGAGAATTATGTTGTATAGATTTGTCAATAGGGATGATTGATAATCAGAAAAAAAAAATCAATTTAAATTCAATTTGAAATATTAAATTTAACCTATTAGGTTGGAATTAAAAGAAAAATAAAATAATCAAGAAAGAAGTTAAATTTTTTAAAAAGCAATTTAAAAATTTAAAAAAATAAAAACAATTCTTGTAAAAATTCATTATTCATAGAAAAATTATTTTTTACTTAAGACAATAGTGTCCATTAATATTTGTTATTTATAAAAGCAATTAAAAGCTTTCCTAATTAAATGTCAGGTTTATTGAATTTTTTATTTTATGATTCAGAGCAGTTGGTAAATGGTGTTTTTGTTTGACAAGAAATAAATTGATGATTTAAATTCTCCAAAATCCCTGCTTTTAACTAACATAAATATGAAGAATAGAATTTTAATTTCATAAAATTAAGTTGTAAGAGATGTAAAAAAAAAAAAAAAAATTACTTTAATAAATCCTGAAAATTTAATTAAAATCTGACAATTATTTGATTTTTTGCAAGAATTTCCAAAACAATTTTTTTTTTCTTTTACAAATTAAATGTCATAGGTTTGACAAACTTTACTTTCATCAAGTTTGTTGCCTTTTTCATTATGCTATGCTTTTTTTTTTAGAAATTTAGAAAAATGTGTGTGTGCGTAAACAAAGTGGTTGTAATGCATTTCATCCTTCAGACAGTCTGATCAATCCTGAAGAACGAAACGTGTCACAAGTAAAAACTTTTTCCACTTTATCATACAATTTCCCTAATATTTTTCTTAATGTATCGTTATCTCGTACATGTTAAAAAAACAAAGAAAAACAACATGTAAGCTTCAGTCAGGATGCAAGGTAACTTTATATTTTATAAAAAGTAGTTACCGCCACTAAATTTTCGATACCGAATGGATTTTAAAAATAAAAATTGGAGTTTTTTTTTAAATTGAAAGCTAAATGATTAAATTTACTATTTCCAATAAACAAAATACTCTGGTGTATTTCAAATAACTTGAATGTCAACTTTTTGTTCGCACTTCAGAAAATCGATAAATATCGGCCATTTTAATAGATTTGTAAACAAAAGTTAATTCTCGGTTTTAAAAATCTTCCAAAAATAAAATATATATTTGTGACATGTTATTTGAGGGAACTAAACAAAGAGTATAACAAATCTCATACCATGAAAACGTGCAAGGATTTCTTAACCACGGGGTCTTGTTTTTCTGACGTTAATAATCGATGAGGTGTTGAAAAGCTAAGTATGGTTGACCAGAAATTTAAATTTACGAAATCCAAGTGAACGGTTTGTTTTTGGCTTGCTTTTTAACTACCTAGTAATTTTTTTTTTTTTTTTTAAAAAAAAAAAAAAAAAAAATCAACGTAATATTTTCAGCAATTATCTAAAATATTTTATTTACTTTAGCCTTACGTTTTTAATAACTCACAAAAAAGTAAAAGGTTAGTAAAAAAAAAAAAAAAAAAATTTTTATAAAATGGGAGTTAAAGTAAAAATAATTTGAAAGGAAATTTCAAAATGACACGCAAATTAAAAAAAATAAACACTTCAAATAGAAATTGAAAAATTTTTTAGTAGAATTGGGTTTCGACTACGGGTTATTTAAAGTATGACCCACACTGAAATAAATTAAGTGAAATAGGAATTAAAAAAAATGTAAACATTACTTAAAATTTTAAAGTTAGTTTAAGGGATGATTTACAAATGCTGTCGAGACGTAAAACACTATGAAACAAATGAATACGGAAAGAATTGCAAACGGCTAAATTTTTAAAGTTTAAAAAATTTAAAATGTCGGGATAAACGACTTAATTAAGGGTTTCAATTTGATTCGTAAATGTAGTTTTGTTTTCAGTAATAACCGGATTGAAGTAATGCAAAATTTTAAACGATTTATAATTTAAAATGAACACTTTTCTTGATTCATTATTCATAAATTTTTTTTAAGACAATAGTGTCCTTAAATAAAATCTCATTTATAAAAGCTTTTTTAAAAGTCAGTTTTATTGCATTTTTATATTACGATTCAGACCAGATTTTCGGTAAGTGAGGGTCCCGTTTTTTTACAAAAATAAAGAACTGATAATTTAAAATAAATTCTCCAAGGAATCCTGCTTTTAACTAAAAAAATAATTTTCGAAAAAAAATTTCAGGACTTATTCACAAATGAAGAAATAATTTTTTTTTTTCTTAAAAAATCTTGGTAAAAAAAAAAATTTTTGTTACATGTTACTCCCATTTACTTTTCAGAAATTAAATTTTTTTCAAATCAAGATATTTTTCACCTGAAAAAAAAAACTAAAACGAGGCGCAAAAACATTAATCGTCGACCGCTGAACGTTAAAAAAAAAAATTTCGAACGCGCTAGAAATTATTAAAACATTTAATAAAATAAAAAATGCTTTGATTTTCAAACATTTTGACGATAAAACTGTTTTTAAGTTTGGGGCTATGCTGCTATCTTTTTTTAACAAGGTGGCGGTACAAAAGAAATAACATCTTTGTCACTGGCTCAGTTATGCTTTATTTCGTATTTTAATAACTCATATGGGAGATGAAAATTACATTTTCAGAAGGAAAAAAGGGGTAATAATCCTAGAGTTGATACCTTTTCATAGTTACGGATTATTTAAGGAAATTTAGTTCTGGGTAATCCACATTAATGACCTTGTGCCAGACTATAACTTAGTTTGGCACAAGGAAATAAAATTTTAGAATCGGGGCTATAAAAAAAAAAAAAAGATGGAAGTAGTATCTAGTTACTGGAAGCAGACAGGTTCAAACTTAGTTATAGCTGATTCTAGACTTTTTCACCAAAAGCAAAATCTGTTTAACTGTCAGTAATAATCCTTTTAGCAAAGAAAATCTATTTACAAGCTGGGAAGTTTTTTATATTTTCAAACTGATTTCATTTGTACCATTTTATATTTATTCTTCCATTACTTTTTTTTAGTTTAAATGGAAATATTTTATTTCATTTCATAATTTTTGTCATTAGTATTTTTGTAATTTTGTAAAAAAATCTGTATTTTTGCCTATTCAAAAAGTAATAGAAGTTATTACGCTTCCAAAGATACAGTATTTTATAAAACTTTTTGAATTAAATAAAAAAGGTTTCAGCTGTACAAACTACAGAATTTTAAAATTAAATGAAATGATTTGGTACAATTTTTTCTTATAAAATCGGCTTAGATGTAAAATTTAAAAAAAACTTTCGACGTACAATAGAATAGCATGCAAATATAGTACAAAAAACAAAATGTTTCTTGGAACAATAGTTCAACGGGGTAATAATGGCCAGCTAGTCATTCTGAGAAGTGAGAATCCAGATGTTTAACGGTGAATATGAATAACAAATGTTGGACATAATCATTCATTAATATGGAGATAAAGATGAGAATGGATTTTTAGTAAATATTTTTACATTAACTGAAGCGCATGAAGTTGAGAAAAAAAACTAACGTGAAAATTTTAGTGGCCCTGAAAAGGGCCGTTTTAACTTTTTTCAGTATAATTAATTTACTTGGTGCTGGTATATTTGGTGACAGCCTTGGTTCCCTCAGACACAGCATGTTTGGCCAATTCTCCAGGCAAAAGAAGACGGACAGCAGTCTGTACTTCGCGGCTGGAGAGTGTTGAACGCTTGTTGTAGTGGGCCAGACGACTGGCTTCAGCAGCAATCCTCTCAAAAGATCGTTGACAAAGCTGTTCATGATAGACATCGCTTTGCTGGAGACACCAGTATCGGGATGGACCTGCTTCAGTACTTTGTAAATGTAGATGGAGTAGCTTTCCTTCCTCTTCTTTCTCTTCTTCTTACCATCACGGGCAGCCTTAGCTTGGCCGGCTTTCTTTGCACCTTTAGAGCTAACTTTAGGAGGCATTTTCAATTCGTTACGAATCAAACTATGGTAGAGAAAAAAATCGTAAGTATATATACCATACGGACCGGCTCCTGTGGAAGCTGACAGAAATATTAATTTTATTTCATTCTGATTGGACGAAAAATAAAAACGACCGTTTGAGAAAAGAGCGCCAAAAGGATGTGGCTGCTGGGAGCCAGTTTAGAGATTTATAAGGCTAGTCACTCTCTTTTGTAAATCACTTTATTGTGTGTTTGCCAAAATGTCTGGTCGTGGTAAGGGAGGTAAAGCTAAGGGAAAGAGCAAGACACGCTCATCTCGTGCTGGACTTCAGTTTCCCGTCGGTCGTATCCATCGTCTCCTACGTAAAGGAAACTATTCCCAGAGAGTCGGTGCCGGTGCTCCAGTCTACTTAGCAGCCGTTATGGAATATTTGGCCGCCGAGGTTCTCGAGTTGGCAGGAAATGCTGCCAGAGACAACAAGAAATCCAGAATCATCCCCCGTCACTTGCAACTGGCCATCCGTAATGACGAAGAATTGAACAAGCTGTTGTCCGGAGTCACCATTGCTCAGGGTGGTGTCCTTCCCAACATCCAGGCTGTTCTTCTGCCCAAAAAGACCCAAAAGAGTGCTAGCACTAAATAAAATGTCTTGAAAAGAAAAACATAACGGCCCTTTTCAGGGCCACCAATTTTTTCAACAAAGTCTTCCTTCCTTCATACATATGTACGAAGCAAGTTTGATCAAATTATCCTACCTGAACTCATTTTTTCATGGCATGAAAGTAGGGTTTCGCCAAGTTTGATTTTTGTTTGGGTGAAGTACTTAATTTTAGCCACAAGTTTTTAATAAAGTTTGTTTCATACGTCAGTTAAGTTTTTTTTTTTTTTTTTTGGCGTGAAAGCACACAATGATTTGTCTTTAAATGGACGCAATATCGTGTTTATTTCTCTTTATGCCTGTCTCATTCACGCAAAGGCTTTTTTTGTTTTTTTGTTTTTTTCTCGTCTATTTAAGACGCCACAACGCAAACCTAAAAGCCCTAAGAATGAAACATTTATCTCAATTATGTTTATATTTTGCTACGGTACGTAAATAAATGATTTTTTTTTTCCTCCAGCAACCCTTTCGCAGATGAGCACAATTTAAAAAAATTGCACTTTTTTTTTTTAAACTAGTTTTCAGAAAGGTTTTTGTATTTTTCAATTCTCTCCCTACAAAAATCTTATTGATTTTTATTTTTCAAATCGTTCGAACGATTAATTTTTGGAAAGTTATTTTCGCACTTTATTCACATGGCAGAAAGTTTTCGAACTGCCTTTGGCTTTTCGCTTTTTCAATTGAAAAAATGTTGAAATTCCAAATTAAAAAAAAACAAAAAAAAACTTTAACATTAAAAAGGTTCTTGCCGTCGACTGAAACATAAAAACAATGCATTCGCTGAAGTTGGATTTTCGTTCTGTTTTTAAATTTAAAAAGAAAAAAGGCATTTATTTTTCGATTCTTCAAGTACATATTTTATTATCAACGACTGAAAGTTTTAAAATGGTACTGTAAAAATCATGAAATTTTTTTCATAGAGACAAACTTTTTCCTGTGGAAAAACAAAAAGTACTTTTATTAAAACAGCAACTCTCCAAGAAATCAATTTGAGCTTTGTTAAATAATTTTCACATTTTCGACTTGTTAATGTTCGATAAGTTATAATCGGATTAGCGTTATAAAAAGTATAAAATTAAGAACCAAAATTCAGTGAAGTAACTCACCAGGAGAAAAAAATTATTCAATATCAAGTAAATGAAGTAGGGCTGCAAATTTCAATGAAATTGGATAATTCTCTATTTGGGGATTTTTTTTTTTTTTAACATTGTTAATATTTCTACAAAATTGTCCATCTTTCCAGGCGTTTTGATTGGTTTGTTTATTTTACATAAGACCCCCCCCCCTTAAGTGAATTCAGAATCCGAGGTTTAGGTTATTTTTTTCTGAATTAATATAGGAATAATATAAAAAACAAAACATTAATTTAATAGTGGCCCTATTTGCTATGTAAATTAATTGTAAACCGGACACACACACAAAAAAAAAAAAAAAAATATACACCAAGTGCTTATCAGTAATGAAAGTTGATAATGCAGAATAGCGTGCATACCAAACGGATTAATAAAATTGAATTTCCTTTATGGCAGCAACTATAGAAATTTCCTTGTCATTTTTTCAATTAAGAGGTAATTATTGAGCAAATCAGAATATTTAGAAAAAAAATTTACGCAGCTTAATATTTTCTTTTTTTAAATGATTGAGTTTCGGCTTATTACGATTGCCTTTATAAATAAATTCAAAAATTATCGAAAAACGTGGACACCGTTATCCTGTAGTTGTACCTAGAAGTTTAAAAATAAATGATTACTGTTTGGCAATTGCTTGGAAAGAGATGTGACAACACTATCTCGGTGGTGTTGGATATGAGCAAAAAAAGAGGGTATAGTTTACACAACAAACCGTGCACTAAAAAAAAAATTGTTCTAATTCAGAATCCTTCAATAGTCAACTTGTATGCGTCTGCCTTGTCGATAGAGATTAAAATTACATCTTTATCTACATTGGTCATTATTTCGACGAATGTTTGTAAATTAAGAACGTTTTCATTCCTAATCAAATGTTTCAAAGCCCGTTCGTAAAAAATCCACGCAAGAGTTATTTCCCTTTAATTAGTTTTAAAAAAAGTAACACTAAAAAAGTTAATTACAAAAGGATGCCAATCAACGAAAAATTTAAGAATAAAGGCAAATTTAGACCGCAGGTATAGTCAAGGAAAGTTAATTTTTTGATAGTTGAGAATTTAATTACAGAAATTAAACATTGAATAAATGTAAGTTAACGAAGTTTAATTATGGATAATAATTTACTACATAATTGAAACATTTTCATTTAAAAAGTAAAATATAAAAAAAATAATGCATATCACAACGGAGAAAACACCATTCATAGAAAATAAGTGGCCCTAAAAAGGGCCGTTATCATTAGCAAAGAAGAGGTGTTCCAAAACCAGGAGGGTCTTGATGTTTTCAACGAAAATAACATCAGATTTCGTACTGCTAGATGTTGGTTAGGCCCTTCAAGATTATCATCAATCACCTTACAATGACGACTTTGGTGTCTTCTACGAAGTACTGAAAAGTTCTCGGCCCAGCCAAGAAAGCAAGCGCAGATGCAATCTATTCCACATATTCACCCCGCATTTCAATACACTTGGTACATTGTTTGTCAAGTTTCTTTAAACCTTCCAAAAAAAATTCTGATGTTTGGTCACTGAAATACTGCTCTGCTGCTGCTATCACCTCCGCATCACTTGCAAATTTTCTTCCTTTCAAACTCCTTTTAAGGTTCGGAAACAGAAAGTAATCAGATGGCGCAAGATCTGGGGAGTAAGGTGGGCTGTCTATGTGCTCAAACCCCAAATTCCTCAAAACATCCATCGTCTTACCAGCATTGTGAGCAGGTGTATTGTTCTGCAAAAACAAAACACCTTTCTTTAGTTTCTCTTCCCGTCTGTCTGACAATGTATCCTTTAATTGGTACAGTAAATTACAATAGTAATCTGCATTAAGCGTTTGGCCTTTCTGGAGATAGTCAGTCATTAAAATACCATCTTTATCCCAAAAAACCGTCGCCATAACTTTTCCGACTGACTTTTGGATTTTCATTTTTTTCGGTCTTGGAGAATCCGATTGCTGCGGGATTTCCGGGTCATAATGATGCAACCAGGTTTCATCCGCAATGAGAAGTCTTTCCAAAAAACCATCACTAGACCGTTGAAAATGTTGCAAAATCATTTTAGAGGTATCGACTCGATGTCGTTTCTGATCGGCATTCAGACATTTTGGTACCCACTTAGCTGACAACTTCTGCATACCCAGCTGCTCATGAATTATAAATCCAACGCGTTCCCTAGATATGTGTAGGGTCTCAGCAATTCTTTTGGCAGAAATTCTTCGATCAGCCAAAATTAGATCATGAACATGATCAACAATTTCAGGAGATGACACTGTTGAAGGTCTCCCGGAGCGTGCTGCATCTTGAGTCTCAAAATCCCCACGCTGAAAATTGGCACACCATTTTTTCACAGTTGAATATGATGGACACTTAACACCCAATGTTTGCATCATACATTCATGGATTTTCTTCGGAGTTTTCTTCTGTAGGAACATGAGCTTCATAACGGCCCGGAGCTCAACACTTGAAAATTCCACACTTTCTTTAGACATGGTTCAAAATCAATGATCTGAAACAGATTCAAAAATAAGAACAAGGAGCTTCTTAAAGTGGCAGTTTAGAATATACAAAATATAAAATACTTGACAGTTGTAACGCTAATAAAAACCTCGGGGTGGGGCGGGGGGGGTTGAAGCCGGTCAGGCCGAGAACTTTTCAGCACCCCTGAAAGAAATTACGACAATATTACCACTTCGTTGTAGGTGTGCATTCTATATATAAATCCGCCTACCAATCGATGCGGACGTAGTAGAGAGCATACCACCTGACTACCTGTGACCAATGAAACTACGGAAAAATATTTCAAACCTGAGCGCGCACTTTACACAGAATCAGCAGCAGGAACAGCTGCTGCTATAAAAACTCTAACTGAAAAAAAAAATATTGACGCACATTTTTAGAAGCATTAGAATGGCTCGTACTAAGCAAACTGCTCGTAAATCCACCGGAGGAAAGGCTCCTCGAAAGCAGCTCGCCACAAAGGCTGCTCGCAAGAGCGCTCCTGCTACTGGCGGAGTGAAGAAGCCCCATCGTTACAGACCCGGCACCGTGGCTCTTCGTGAGATCAGACGTTACCAAAAGTCCACCGAGCTTCTCATCAGGAAGCTTCCATTCCAGCGTCTGGTTCGTGAAATCGCCCAGGACTTCAAGACCGATCTCCGTTTCCAGAGCTCTGCCGTGATGGCTTTGCAAGAGGCCAGTGAAGCTTATTTGGTTGGTCTTTTTGAAGACACTAACCTGTGCGCCATCCACGCTAAGCGAGTCACCATCATGCCCAAGGACATCCAGCTTGCTCGCCGTATACGTGGGGAGAGAGCTTAATTTTGTTCTCCACGTATAATTTAATTCTAAAACGGCCCTTTTTAGGGCCTCTTCCACTGTGTCGATTGTATTTCTGACTGCCATCTGGGAAAAAAAATGCAATATTGTAATATTAAAAAAAAAATATTGTAATGCTAAAAAATAGTACCCTTAACTTTGCATACTGCAAAGTGCAAACTATCTCCCGAAGCCTAAGGTTGCATTTTCACTGCAAGTTAGCGACTGGTTATGTTACAAAGCCCTAAAATCTGTAGTTGCAAACTATTTATGAACTTAATTTAAGGTGACTTCTACAACCTTTACCTTTTAGCTGTTTTTTTTTTATACTGCGTTATATAGAAATCGTTATCCATGCAAATAAGTGGGGCGCAATCAATTCAAACTATTGAATATTCACTTTATTTCTCGACGGTTTACTGACTGGTATTAGTAAAAATTTTCGAAAAACTGACTTTCCCTTCAAAAATTTTACTAGCGCTTAATTGAATCTAAACGTGCGACCTTTTAACAATCACTACAAAAAAAACAAACATTTCACTATTTTTATC